GTGTTATATTACATTATTGTGCCGATCTCGATCTATTCTTTATTCACGTTTTTTAAAGTGCAGTACGATTAATGTGAGATTTATTCTGATGGACTCCTGGTGTAAAGAAAATTTTCTATCTACAAACCACACGAATGTTTATGGAAAATCGAATCGAATAAATATAGCAATATGATATTAAAAAATATAGCGTATCATCAATTAATGCAATTTGTTCATCATTTTGATCAAACAGCAAACAGAGAAATCATCCACACACAAAAACAGTAAAAATTTAAAAAACCCACAAAAAAGAGCACGCAAGACGAAGTCGTCTCTTCTTGCAGCTATTTGTTTTTGTTTGTTTTAGTTGAGGTTTTACGGCGCTCGCAACTGCATAAGATGATATGAGTGCCACGGGGTGGATGTAAACAGAGAAGTTCTAACATGGAATCAGACTTACTCTGCTCACCTCTCCAGCTTCAACAGCACAGAGTCTGCTTTGACTATCAAGGCACCCGGAAATAGCGGGTCACAACAGTGTGACACACATACAAAAGAAGTAGAGGGGAAATATAAATAATATATAGTAAAGATTAGGAAAGAAAAAGCAGCAGTTCCCTGTTCAATTCAGGCACAGTTATGAGCATGGCATTGATGAATCAGCCCATTACAATTACAATTCTACTGTGCGTAAAAACTCGAGATGTTAATGTCCCCCTCTTTGGGAATGGTCTAAAGACACTTCAGTCTGTAGCACCGCCCTAGGGGATAGCAGCTATTCGTACAAATGATTGATATACTTGTGTAGTGTGTGTTCATAGCATGAACGCGGCTTGAGTCGTCTTTGTGCAAGTAAGCTTGATCCAATCAGCTTGATCAAATTCAGTTGAAGGTGTGTGGCTGACTTAACAACCTTGTAATTAAACTAAAACCCTTAACATCACAAGACGAGACTTGCAGAGAAAAGAAGCGGTAAGCGCAGCTACTGGCTCTGAGTTCTGTTTGTGTGGTTGTTTGTTTATTTGTTTGTTTTGTTTTTGTTTTGTTTTTTGTTGTTGTTTTGTTTTGTTTTTTGTTGTCGTTTTTAT